CTCTCTCTCTCTGTGGGCATATGAACATGTTGGACAAAGCCTTAACATTTGAAAGGGCTCTAAAAACCTAGAAGAAACGAGTTTCAGGCTGTACTTGCTTCGGTTTTAAAATCACCTAGAACAACCAGATGCGTATCAGAAGCACAATAATCCAGAATAGAGTCACTAAGGCCACTGTCATGTATTTGCCGAAGAGCCAGGTGGCCGGTACAACCTTGAAAAAGACAACTCTAGGTTTGTCAAATCTTTCAAGGCAGAGCAGTTCAGAAAACGTTGGACCAGTAACGCTGGCAAGGAACAATGTATTTCTAGCTATGCAGCAGACACCCCCACCCTTTCGCTCTTTGCGATCAACTCGAAAAACGTTATAGGGGCGATTGCCGAGGAGTTCGGTATTTGTCGTTTTCAAAGACCGCCATGTTTTAGTGATGAAAACTAAGTCTGTATTGGACATATCCAAGAAGAACTGCAAGTGATGTATCTTGTTGCTTAAACTTCTCGCATTAAAGAGAAAACATCGTATGCCTTGAGGTGGGCCGTGGCGGTTCAGGCGTTTCCCGAGCCCCGTCTTTTGGGAAGCTCGTCCACGCGCTTTAACTCGCCACGGTACACCACCCAGACGCGACCTTTTGACTGTCTGTTGCGGTCCCTACATTCCTGCCTCGAACTCGAACTCATGCTTACGTTCTGCTGCGGTTAAACTCTTGCGTATATAGATATTAGAGAATCCCGCAGAACGAAGTCGGGAGCTATTCATAAAGGCAGTGACCCAGTGACTCTTGGAAGGGTGGACGAGCTTTACCAAACGTGGACGTGCACCGTCGGGTTTCCCATGCGGTACACCTCCACGGGGCGACACTTGACCCCCAAACAGTCGAGCACTTCACTGACCTTCATTTCGACCTCCTGTTGCTTAACAGAAGGTGCTGTGTTTGGGGCTGTTTCGGGGATTCCATAAATAACCAGACTTCTCCCCCTCTTTTCTGCTTCAACGGCATCGGCTATGGTTTCCGGCAATTTGGAGACCAACGCGTTAATGTATCTTACCCATGATCGGGTCTTTCAACTCTTCGTTACGTTCCATCATTGCGCTCACGAGTTCCGACAGTGACATTTTCGACGCATCGCTGTCCGATGGAATATTGGCCGTACTACTTGAAGAGATTACTTTAACGTTGGCAGATTGTCATGCGACTTGTTTTGCGTCATGATCTAATCGAAATATCGAATAATCGAAACTTAGCTGGGCCAGCGATAGGAGATTTTACGAGCACACAATCCAGCAACTTTAAAGTATTGTATATGATCGAATAGTAGCTGAACGCTCCGAGAATCTGTTATAGGAATACCACATTGTTGGCAGCTATAGCAATAGAACGTAGACCAGGTAATACTGCGTCGGACGTTAGAGTATCATGCCAGAGCAACAGAACAGTCAACCGCTCGCGATTTGTGAGCAACAAGTTGTTAGCAATACTTATCTGTAATGTAATAAAGATAATGTATACTTCTATCAAACGACGTCCGCTTGTCAGATGACTGAGACAGAGACATTGTGCTCTTGCTTACCGGAAATCAATCCACTTTAACAGCTTTTTGAATTGAACGAGCGACTTCCTCAAAAATGACACTCCTAGAAGCCCCTTTCATTTTTTTAGGAAATTGGCATCAGAAGTAATGCGCACCCTCCCAACGACACACTTATCTGTTTCTCAGTCACTTATAGCATAAAAGAAACACATTAGAGCGTAGGAAAGAAACACATTCAGCGATTGAATGGTTCGGATTTAAACGACTGCCCTCTGGTTATAATTAAAGCAAGGGTCGCTCGCTGACGAGTCCAAGGTACTTTGCTGCGATGAGGAAAGAATTTCGACGAACAGAAAAACATAGGCTTCCTTATAAGTAAAGGTAATCAAAATTGGAACTAGCAAACAAAAGCCGAAAAAAAGCGCGGGTCGAAAAGCGCGGATTTCTTTTCGTTTTGTTTTTTGTCGAACAATTAGGGTGGGTGTTCTATGTACTCACATGTCCACGCAGCATGGCAGTCGCTTCACATCAAGTTCTACGCTTCATTTTCCACCTCGCAAATGAAGCAATACGAACGAGAGCCACGGTCACCCATTTTTGGGCGGACGGGCGCGGTGGGCGTCTGGGTCGGTTTGTTGTAGCTTCATAGGGCCTTATAAGGGTATCATTTTCGGTATGTGTGCTTTGTTGAGCCTGCTCACAAGCGCGGAATTCCGTCCTGCGAAGCTTGTCAATTCCACTTTCTTAAGATCCTGCCAAGTGCAGAAAGGTGGTGTGCGAAATACTCATTGGTCTCATGTCATTTGTCCGTCCCAGTGGACAAAAATTTGACAAAAGACGAATAGAAAATCAATCATAATCGCCTCGTAGAGAAAGAAAAGAATATATAAGAATATACATAAGAATAAAGAAGATATATCAATGCAGATAGAAAACATTTGACATTTGAAAAATTTTCATTTTTCAAACAGGATCCAGTGTAAGAAAAAAAGCCAAAACATATGCACAAACCCAGTCTTATAGCTGATTACTTTGTTTTCCCTAATCGTATATCATCATAACAGAAGATGAGTACTACTGGTTTCTTTATTTCTCAATGTGTTTCGGTAACAAGTGAGCTTCCACTTCTGTCTAATCAAGGAGTTCACTCGTTTGGCGCTCGGAAAGAAATGGAAAGCTCCACGAGGGAAGGGTTGTACATCTCAGACCATGCAAAGAATGGCGTACGCTGCTGGTGCTATCTACGTCAGCAAGGTGTTCGACCAGGTAGTTCTTCAAGGGTACTACAAGATCCCGGCTAGAATGATGTCATGCCTAGCTGTTATGTTATTATAGGCATTGAAGAATTCAACATTAGATATGGTGAACGACCTACAAGAAGCGTTACAGAGATTGCTTGTCGAACAGGACTGGATGGACCGTGCTACAAAAAAGGTTCTTTTCTGTGGAAATACAAAAACTAGTTCCAGTGGCCTGCTGTTGCTGCTGACCGCATCAATTAAGTTGTTGAGGGGTGATCTTTGCGGTCTGGGAGCTGTTTCCTGGTCGGAAAACGGTCGACGCAAAGCCGAAGATGATAACCACTGAAGTGTTTTGGTTTGTTTGTATTCGTGAAGTCTTACTTAGTTCACATCGATTCGTTCACAAAGCGCTGTGGAGCTGAGTATACTATTGGGTTAGAAACGAGCTCTCGCTGCCCACTATTTATGTCTGTTCCACTGCAATTACCAATTACAGACAGCAATGAAAAGCATTTTTGGTATTTCCATCTTTATTTCCCTTTAGTGAATAAGTTTATGTAACTTTTTGAAAGAACGAAAATGTGAGACATGTCAGATCGCAAGAAGATCAAGTTCTTTTGCCTTTATCCTACTTTTGCTTCTCCAAAACCTTAGATTTATTCTTCCTGTAAGCTTCGCTTGCAGAGGCTACTCAGTGTTCTGATCACGACTATAGCATTCGATTCTGGCGTCGGCGTTAAATGAGTCAGAAGATTCTCATACGACGCCACAATCGTTTACACCAATCATATATTCTAGGATATTTACTCCCCGATCACAGAGATGAAATTCGTTCCTCTCGGTTGACACCAGTCTGCCGCCAAAAGACTCTTCGCCAAGACCAACGCAAACGTAATCAGGGCTATCTAGTTGCCCGGTCAAGAATATGGCTTCATTCTTGTCGCTTGCACCAACTGCGCGTCACGGCTGTTTTCACCAAAATATGTACATGTCATGTATGTATGTTAATCACTGTTCTGACCACGACTATGACTCTCGTTTGTAACGCAATCGCTATTTGGCGCGATTACGTGCCTGTTCAATGTTTTTCCTTTTTTACCAATCTATTTGTCTTCAAGAGAAGTCAGGGATCCTCATCCCTATCATGGCAGTCAATTATTATTTACAAACACAGGAACATCTTGATACGTGGCCCGAAAGAAGGCTGCTGAGTTGGTAAAAACGCATAATGTCGTCCCTGGTATTGAAGATGGAGTCATGGCCAGATCTGGACTGTGCTCAGCTTCAATCTCGAAACTGCTCCTTCCACGAAAACTCACTCATAGCTTGAGCTGTTTTCTCCGTGTTTGCTCTACTTTGCTGCTTTGCTTTGCGAAATTGAAATGGTGGTTAACAAACATTCCTCTATACATGGGAAAGCGCGGAAATTTGGCCCAGCTGTTAGTGGTGTGGCCCCATATAGCAGGTACTTCGTGATGAGTCGCAGGAGAACTGTAGCGCCTCTATCTCGAACCAGTCGGAGGGAAGCCCGCTCGCATCCGACGACACGACCAAAAGCCACTCTTACCAGCGCCCACGGTTGTGTTTGCATCTTAGTGACCACGGTTACGTTAATTTCGACAGAACATCAGAGTCCTGTGACGACAGGTGGATCTATTTTGAAGTTTAAAGGATAAAGGATAAAGTCTTCGCCGTTGATCAATCCCTTTGTGGGATGCGGCACGCATTCTACTTCCATTCAGAATCGTAGTGGCTTATTGAATGCGATGTGGCCTATACAATGACTGGGGGCCAGCCGATGTACAAGTCAGTGTTTTATCCTCCCAGACGAATCTGGTACCAATTTACCGTCCCCGGAGGGTAGAAGGCTTGGTTGGCCTGGGCGGGTGTCGACCCGGGATTCGAACCCGGCGGTCACCTTTCACCCTTCCCATGTCGCGTAGCTAGAAAAGGGCAGCGCAAACATGCTAGACTTAGACACGATAGACCTTCGGAAAGAAACCTTCCCGCGCTGGATCGTACCTCACTTTTGCCAGTGCAACACGTAAGCCGGTTGCACACCACACCATTGTCAGGCATGCAGTTTTTCGATACCATAGATCCTCGAGAAGGGTGGACACCAAGGCCATCAGTCGATGGCGGCTGTAGGCGGCGCCCGCGTTCATTTTGTTTTATGCACGTTTCAGCTTTGACTCTGTTTCAGCACTCTTTGATTATCGTAGCTCACGCAATGAGGATGGTGGACGTGCTTGTTTCGCAACTCAAAAATGCGATAGAACAGCGGTGCCCGCTGGTGAAGAGTCGGCCACCCCGCCCACCTGGCGACCACTACGCCCAACTTCATTTCTAATGGTTGCCTGATGGTGCGGTTGTTCCGCTTCTCTCTGCACATCGAATGGTGAGAGATAAGGGAAAACAGCTGATACAACAAGTGAGAACTCGTGCGGTCGCGCCTTCTCTTCGCCTTGAGTTGAAACAACAAATGAACGCGGGCGCCGCCTTCATTATTCTCTACGTACAAGCTCAGCTCAGAGTGGGGTCCTATATAGGGCATATCCGATGATTTTTTTGCATTTTTCTTCACTAATGAACTACTTGCTACCTTGTTGTCACTGTCTGAGCCCCATAACTCATCAAATTGAACGCGAGCGCTGCCTTTAAGAGCGTAGCAGAAATGCTTTCATGCGTTCACAGAGATGTGAAGCAATTTTGCCGGAGCTAGATTCATAGGAGCTGGCCATCTCTAACTGAAGTACCTCGCTCTAACAGCATGCCTCTTTTGATTCCCATTTGTAAAACCTATGTTTGTTGGTATTGCGCCACTATCATTTTCACGCCCATGCCAATAGCGAATGTTATGTTGGCGATCACAACGCCTATTAACCCTCATACGCAATTTCAAATCAACAGCTGGGGAAACAATGGGAGCTCAAGAGGCATCCATAAATATTCGGCTCTAAGTTCCCTAAAGTGCATAGAAGTGCTCAATAGTGTTGATGACCTGCTCCTCGTCGACTAATGCTTCAAGTCCCTCACAGATGATTGGGTAGAGATGAAGGCTTTTCCTCGGTCATTTTGTCATCCTAATGCTGACCTTAAGAGCCGGAAACGAAGTCATTATTTTTATGCTTGCTTGTGGTCATTTTCGACTGATTTGGAAACAGTTCTCCCAGGCGTACTTCATCTGTACCCACGATATTTCAGAACACAAGTCAAGGAAAATCAAAAAATGATTTAAAAGGATGTTCCAATTTATTGTCTTTTCAAAAAATTTGAATATTCTTTTGAATCACTTTTTGGCAGGTAGCTGCGGGACAAGTATTGTCAGCTACTTGCCAAAAAATGCCTGTTTGCTTCACTAACAGGTACTATCGTCAAAAAGGACTCATGATCACTGGCGGAAATACTCTTTAAGCAAAGTTCCACAGCACAAGTTTGCGTTTCTGAGTTAGAAACAGCTTAACATTCTCCAGCTCCCATTTTTCAATAATGGATAAGCAGAGGAGTGGGGAGCAGGCGGGATTATCACTGGCGGACGAAAGTATGTGGATGGAGCTGATAAGAGCCTATAAGAGACCTCAGAAAATTAAAGCTGCGAAAGCCACAGTGTGGGGCACAGTAACTGTGGGGTGTTGGTTCCAAGGAGTGATATATGGGTTAAAGCGAGTGCATTATCGGTCGGCAGGAACTGATAACAACTGATAGGAGCTGATTAGGGACGCGGAGAGGAAGCCTCATAAATCGTATGTCATGAGTGGTGGCAACAGTGGAGCATGATTCCAGTC